CAGACAGACAGACAGACAGACAGACAGAGGCAGACAGACAGATAGACAGACTGACTGACTGACTGACTTCTCAAATAATTTAAGGATTTGGGAAGGGTGCTTCTTTTATTAAAATATCAGGATTTCTTTATTGTTTCAAGTTATATCATTTTGTGGGGGGAAAATGCGTTCTCATACTTTTCTTTCTTTCAGTCTCTCTTGTTGCCTTTAGAGCAAACAAGAGAAAGAAACGAGAGAAAGAAACATGAGAAAGAAAAGTGATGCTGCTATTTTTAACATTACACATAAATGAGTGTAATAAATAATAATGCTAATTATTTTCAGTGCTGAAAAGACTGCTGAAAAGATTCTTCCTCAAAGTTCAGATACGATATTGAAGTTTTCATTACATCCTTCAAAATGAAATGTGTGCAAAGAAGCTTTAGAGGCTACAAGTCTGGATATCTTTTGCTTATCAAAAATGCTACATATTTTTGTTGGCTCAGCACCACCAAGTGAAATTGACTGGAAATGCATTAGAAGCTGAAGAAAATTCAGTAGGCATTTGCAGCATTGGATGTGTTCTGAGCATCATTATCTGCATTTGCAACTACAATATCTACAAATATGAAAGTTCTCCAAGCAAAATCAGTTGATTCTAGATTAGTTAAATAACTTCATCTTATGAACAGATGGGTCATATCTAACTGCAGAAGAAGCCCAGAACCCAACAGAAACCTGTAGGTCTTGGAAGCTATAGTTCTGAACTGGGTTATGATTGGGGCTGAAGCCTACTTTACCCCTAACTACTTTACCTCAACAACTATGTGATTTGTTACATTTTGGTTCTGAACAAGCAATGAATAAAAAATACGGAGGCTTATTCTTCATACACAAACAGACAGTGTAATATTAATGTGAACAGAGAGATTCAGTGAGTCCTCTGATCATCTCTACATGTACAGTATGTGTTGAAAATACCATAAGGAGTTTTCCCCAGGCAGACTAACCTCTTCTGAGATGGCTGCCCAGCTGGGATCACCTTGTCCTCGTAAAACCTCTTCATGGCAAACCGGTCCAGAGCCTGATCTGCACTGTGGAATAAAGAGAAGTGTCAGTACAAGTTCTACTTCTGGAATGATAAGAGTTTCCTCGGGAGTTCTTTCCTCAGTACTTTGGCCCAGCCATCCACCATTGTTTGTGTTCAATCACAAATACTAAAATTGCATCAACAAAATAAAATTTGCTGATTTAAATTTAAAACTGTATTGAGACAGCTTAAAAAACAGCTATTTAAGTTTGATCATCTCCTTCCATTCTTTCTCCACCTGGTGCCCTCCAGTTGGGTTAACTAATTCCCAACCATCAGGAAGGTATCAGATTTGAGAAAAGTGTTTATGTTTTAGGTTTGCATCTAGACCATGAGATACTGACTCTTGGTCTTCTGTAACAAAAGTGTATTATTTTGCCCCCTGTTTGAAGTTCTAACTTCTAGTCTAGAGTGGGGACGGGTTACTTAATTGAAGAAATGCAACACGGCATCCTTCAATCATTGATGCGGCCCAATACTGAGAATAACACATATACACCCCAGCTCAGTTAATACATATTTCATGTTTTCATTTTCCCTCCTTGGTCTCTTTACTTCGTGCTTGTTCACTTGTGAATAGCAAAACTCATCACGTCCTTATAAACTAAATAGAGATGCTTTTTCTAGCAGCAAGAAGGACTGTGAATAAAATCTCCATGCAAATTCCTGATCCATGTAAGAATTTTAGGCAACATACTATAAGTTTGTAACAATGTGATTGTTTTGGCTTGGCAAAGATGTGTATTTGTGAGTGTGTATTGGGAGGGAAATCAGACTTTGTCAAGTGTGGGATTCTATTATCAAAGTGGACTGCACAAGTTTCTAAATCAACAGTCACCAACTGGTGGTCTGTAGACCATTGGTAGTTCATGAGAAAATTCTGGTGGTCCGCAGAAAAATTATCTGCATTTTTTATATTGCACTAAATCAGGAGTCCTCAAACTATGGCCCCTGGGCCGGATACATGCAATGAACGTTTGTGTTGCTACAGACAGCCTCCTCCTTCGGGGTCGTTTTGTGCAGGTCGGAGTGGGGGGCAGAAATTCCAACTTCAGCCTCCTCGTGTGGGGCTTTGAGCGAAGGCTGGGGGGAAGTGTTGCTGGTAGCGAAGAGCTGGAGGGCCTTGTTCCAGTGGGATTGCATCATGGCCTTGAACTGGCTGACCATCTCAGCCCGCTGAGCCTCCAGGTGCTGGTACCTGGCCTTGCACGCCTGCAGGTCTTCCCTCTGCTTGGAAAGCCTATGCTCGTAGTCCTCAGTGAGGTGCTTCTGTTGCGCTTCCTTCTCAGTCAGATCCAATTTGAACTGAGCCAGCTGTTTTGCCAACTCTTTCTCATGGTGGCTGTTTAGCTCCAACAACTGCTTCCTGATCGGGCCCTAAGGAGCCCGGGTGGGGGTGGGGCAAAGAGTGGCTGGGAGGAGAGGGACGAGTAGAGGCCGGTGAGGTGCCCTTCAACATGATATTGAGTTGGCCACGCCTACCCAGTCACATGACCATCTAGCCACGCCCACCCAGCTGGTCATTAGGCAGATAATATTAGTGGTCCGTGGGATTTAAAATTATGAGTTTAGTGTTCCCTGAGGTCCCGAAAGGTTGATGACTCCTGTTCTAAATAAGCAGATTTCTAACATCACTACCCTGTCTGAATTAAAGCCACTGCTTTTCTAGCTCTTTATAGACACCCCAATACATAGTTTTCTTACCTGGCTGAAATATTGCTATAGTGCATGTAAGCAGCAATAACAACCCCTGTTCGACCTCTATTCCCCTGCAGACACAAAGAAAAGAAGTAATAAATCAGCATCCTCAGTAATCAAGCCTGGAAGAGAAAAGACGACAGGCCCTGTATCTTCACTAATGCCATTTGGATAGCACTTTCTGAAGGAAAGAGATTTTAATTAGCATGGGACAATTAACCTTTTGCAGGGGATTGGCATTAATCCGATTTTTAAAATGTCACCCAGAAATGTTGCACTCCAATTTCTATTTGTAATTATGCTTCCCCGTACAATGTGTCTTTAAACGTGTTGGTCATAAAATACATCAGAACTTTTTCCCAGGTGCCTCCATCAGGTGATGGTTAACATCCATCACCTGATTAAGAATTTTGGAAGGTTCAGTTCTAACACGTCTGGAGAGCATCAGGTGAGGAAAGTCTAGAATGGGTGGCATTGAATTGTTTTGAAATTTTAAAAGGTTAAATTCCTGACACATTTCCAGGAATAAACTCCCTATAACATGGGCATATTTGAATGGGAACAGATGCCGCTTGGTCTAGTCAAACAGTAAGACAGATGAACAGAGACACAGCTCAAGTAAGTTGGCAAAAGTAAGCAACCATGAATGTCTTACAGGGAGGCATAACTGAGCAATGGTTTCCAAAGGGGAGGAACATTTATTACAAGTGCTATAAGGACCAACACATGTTATTATTCCATAAATGTGACTGGGTCCACAATGTCCAATGGAGCAAACTAACCAATAGATGGCGCTGCCCCCTTGAATAATAACTGTGGTAGTTGGATTTTGTGGTAGCTTTTGCTATTTCAGAGTCATCTTCTCAGCAAAATTCTTGAGAAAACCTGAGCACCTCTGCTACTCCTCAAACACAGAGAGGAAGAACAAATTGGGGCATCATCACAGAGTCATTTTAAAATTAGAAAGCCAGTACAGGCCCATCCTTGACTGACAACAATTTTTTTCTTTTCTTTTATGTATACTGAGAGTATTTACACCAAGACAAGTTCCTTGTGTGTCCAATCACATTTGGCCAATAAACTATTCTATTCTTTAAAAAATTGTTTAGTACCCATTTGAAGTTACAACAGTATTGAAAAAAGTGACTCATGACCATTTTTCATACTTACAACCATTGCAGCACCCCCTGGTCACATAATCAAAATTCAGATCCTTGGCATACGTATGATGGTTGAAGTGCCCCAGGGTCATGTGATTCCCTTTTGCAACCTTCTGACAAGCCAAGTCAATGGGAGAACCAGGTTCACTTAACAACTGTGCTACTAATTTAACAACTGCAGTGATTCGCTTAACAAGTGTGGCAAGAAAGGTGGTAACATGGGGCAAAATTCACTTAACAAATGTTTAGCAACGGAAATGTTGGGCTCAGTTGTGGTCGTAAGTTGAGGAGTACCTGTAAAGTGCAATGGACCAGGGGTCTCCAACCTTGGCCACTTTAAGCCTGGAGGACTTCAACTCCCAGAATTCCCCAGCCACCTGCTTGGCATATGTATGATGGTTGAAGTGTCCCAGGAATGGCTGGGGAATTCTGGGAGTTGAAGTTCTCCAGGCTTAAAGTGGCCAAGTTGGAGACCCCTGCAATGGACAGTGTAGAATATGGAACGGAGAGTGTGAATGGGCAGCTACATCTATTTTCTTTCCTCCATTCTCATTGGCAAGAGAATATCTCCCTTTTTTACCCTGATGTGAACTGACGGGGATATTTAACTCTCTTTTCCTTCACATTCCCTTGTGTTTATCTCATCTCAGCACAAATGGCAGAGGCAAAAAGAACACAAGAAGAAAAGTGATGTATCTGATAAATTGTTAGTACTCTATTGCAATTTCCTATTTTTAAAAGCATGGATCCTATCTGATCCTATTCTTGGGAGCAGAGCAAATATGCGAGCAGCTGCCCCATCGTGACAAATTTGACTCTGAATCTGTTGTCAGCCTTTACATGTTTCAGGGACATATAACTTGCAGCCTGCAGATTAATTTCACGAGGCCCTCTATTTCAAAAGGCTTCTGTAAGAAATCAATCATATCATAAGGAAGTATTAAAACATTTTTTTAAAAATCTGTAGTATTTAAAACTATCTGCAGGTAGTCCTCTACCACAATTGAGCCAAAAAAGTCTCTGTCTGTAACTAAGCAAGATGAGTGAGTTTTGCTCGATTTTTCAACATTTCTTGTCACAGTTGTTAAGTGAATCATTATGTCAACTCATAAAACATTTTGTACACACGTTTTATAGTTGACAACAGAAAGAAGGGAGGGAGTTTCAAGGAGCAGGCAATAGTGTGGAATCGAAAGTACATTCCATTCATATTTTCTTCAAAGACTGATTAGATGGCTGAAGCTTCTGCCACAAAAAATCTAATTGGAGAGCATGATTGATGACTCTTGGCTATGGACGTTTTTCGTTGGATGATACATCCCAGAGGGGTGGGGTGGGGGAAGCAGGATCAAAGGTGACAGTGAATTACATATCTCAGAGTTGGCTACGCCCAGGTTAGTGCCGGAAGTAGAATGGAAGCTTCAAATAAATCCTCTTTAGTTTTGGGCGTGTGGCTCAAGGCTCATGATTTAATTGGAGTAACGGCCCGAACCCTGACAGTTGTTAAGTTAGTAATTCGGTTGTTAATTAAATCTGACTTCCCCGTTGTCTCTGCTTGTTAGAAGGTTGCAAAAGGTGATCACGTGACTGCAACCATCATAAATACATGCCAGTTGCCAAACAACCAAATTCTTATCATGTGACCATGGGGATATTGCAATGGTCACACCTATGGGGGGGGAAGTCAGAAATCACTTCTTTGTAGCTCCGTTGTAACTTCAAACAGTCACTAAACAAATGATCAAAGGTCAACAAAGACCTGTATGGTCCTTTACTCGTGCCCAAATAGGCCACAATATCAAAGCCTAAAAGACGTCAAATCACTGAACCACAGAACATGGAGTTGGAATCAGTCTTAATGGTCATCCAGTCCAATTTGCAACTCATCAAAACTTAATGTCTTCCGTGTACTCCCAATCACATAGTCAAAGTGACATTCAGTGATGTTGCAGTTTCCCTGTAGGGCCATGTGTGGAGTTTTAGAAATTTTTCCAAATGCACCACTACCTAGGGAATTTGGGGCAGGAAAGCCTACTAACTGGAGTAACTACTCCTTCCATATATCCCTTGAGACACATGGAGTGTACTGACAAACTTCTCCCTTCTGCGACCCCCATGACATTCCCTTATTTAATGTTACTCTCCTAAGAGAACAACATACCTACTTTTTCTATTTTCTGAAATTTAATCCAGGGGTTAATGTGTTTAGCAAAGAAGTAAGTACACATGTATTTATTTCATGAGAAAGTTAAACCGTGCTTTAGAATGGAAATGGGGGAAAAAACAAAAAGTTCAAATTACAGTAATAATGCTACCTCACTGCAGTAATACAAATCGTGCCATAATAGCAAGAGAATGGAACCATTGGCCTCAATACCTAGTAGCTCCAAAAGAATAAGAACAAATTAGTTTCAGTAGCAATAGCACTTAGACTTATATACCGCTTCACAGTGCTTTACAATCCTCTCTAAGCTGTTTACAGAGTCAGCCTATTGCCCCCAACAATCTGGGTTCTCATTTTACCCACCTTGAAATGATGGAAGGCTGAGTCAACCTTGACCCTGGTGAGAATCGAACTGCTGGCAGTTGGCAGAACTAGCCTGCAATACTGCATTCTAACCACTGCACCCCACTGTAAAAACTGTAACAACTTACAGTTACAGTAAAAACTCATTTTCAAATTCCGGCAATGAAGGATAATTTTCACACAACTTTGGTTGGTGAATCCATCTATTTCCTAGACCTGCATAAGACACTGAACCATAAGCTAAATAAATAGGCTAAGTTTGCAAGCAGGTTAAGTCAACCAACAGACAAACAAACCAAGCAAGCCAAGTGTGGCCCACTGGACAAGTGAGCTGACAGCTCTTCCACCTACGGCTTACACATATTACATTAACACAACCAAAGAATATTAAGAGCAACAAGAAAGATTCTACTGATGTATTAGGCATGTTGACTTAACTGAATTTTGTCCCAGTTTCACTACTCAATTTTTTTTCTTCAAAAATTCTTGGAAAGTCTTATCCGATGCTGTTGCTAAAGCTCATATTTTATATCTTTCAAGACTACAGTATCCAGAATGTCCAGGAGAGAGGGATCAACTTTTAAACAACATCAAATCTGATACACTGTAGGAACATCTTTAGGTATAACTGCATCAAATAATGGAAGCATCAGCAATGCAGAAGCATGCATAGACCAATCATAAACATACAGCAACAAACAATTATATAAGAGTGCTGAAAAATACCCATAAAACTGAAAACTAAACAGTGAGAACAGGAAGTTTGTTGGAAAAAGTTGAAAATATTCCCATCACAAGAAAGCAGTGCTGAGACTACACATCCTGTTTTCATCACTATCTGAAGCACAGGCTGAACGTCCAGCTAAGGCCAAATCTAGCACAAAGTTTGCAAAAACGGCTTTACAGTGATCAGGGATGGGGAGGAATATACAATTGTGCATAGCAAATTGCTACACACATGGCAATAGAAGATAGAACATTGCAAAAAATAAGAATATACTTTCTGTTCCTGGATAACAAATTAGAAGATAATTCTTTAGCTTTAAGCAAGAATGTTGTAGGCAGGAGAGTGAGGGTGTCCTCCTAGCCATAAACAAAGCTGGCCTTGAGATCACATGCACTGGTCACATATTTGCTTTACAAAATCAAAATCAAAAAGGGGCTCCATTTGCCACCATTCAATCTGTTTGCTAAATCAGGGGTCACCAATCCCCGGTCCATGACCCGATACCATAACCCGGTACCAACACTAGTCCGTGGTCCAGTTCCCAATGGGCTGCACAAGCGACAGGCAAGTGTGTGAGCATGCGAACCTTCGTTTGCACAAGTGACAGGTGCATGCGCGAAACCATCCCCTCTCCCCACCACCATGCCACAAATTCTGCCGCTGCTGATCCACGGAGTCGGAAAGGTTGGGGACTTCTGTGCTAAATGATATTTGCCTTAATTGTGGCACTTAAGCAGAGGCAAAAAAAAAAAGTTCTCACTACAACCATCCTCCAGGGAATTCCTTTTTTTTTCCCCTCTCACCTTATTATGTAGCACTACCACATTGTGTGGATCAGCATTGAGCCACGTGTCCATGGCCTTGCAGATGCTGCATATCTTCTCCAGGGCAGGGGTGTGCAAGTCAGGCCACCCAAAATCCAAGATCTGTGGTACAAGGAGAAAGAGGGGTTCCAAGTGTGAGAAGAAAGACATGAAGCTGTTATAAAAGGATATCGATCTTAAGTTCTTTTGATTATCAGTTTCACAAGTTTTTTCCAGAACACAAAATCTGCAGGATTGGTTCTACCGTTAGGCAAATGCATCTACAGTTCTCATTTTAAGACATTTTCCCATTCTTTATTATTATTTATTACTGCTGACAAAGGTGTCTTTTGGATTTTGTATTTCATTCATTCAAGACACTACTTCGAATCATTTCTTGCCTGGGTTGGCAAAAGAAGGCAAGCCAACTTATGCGGTGACAAACATTAATAACCTGACAATTCTTAGGAATCCTTGCTAGAAATTGGTGGGGCACCTTCTTAACCAGAAATGAAATTAAGATGCGGTACCATCCCTTGTAAATCAAGCTGGATCAAAACTGACATCAACCTAATCTTAGAAATTTGTTGTCCCACTCCAAAAAAAGTTTAAAAAGAAAAAATAATAATGCACATAATCCAGGTGGATAATATGAAACGAGGATCTTTTTCCTTGAAAAAAAGAAACTCTCCCCGGGAATAGCTTTCATTTCAAATTACACACACAATTTTAAAAAGTGGAGCCTTGCCTAATTCCCTAGCACTTTCTCAATTTCTCTACACTTAATCCTTGCTGGGAGCACCCCTGCAAACAGATTCTATGCAAGAATAGAGAACTGCATGCCACAAAGATGTTCGGCATGCAGAGAATGTGAAGCTGTAATTGGAGATGGATAGACAGATTTCACTGGCTCACTTTTAATTGCTTTTGAATATTTCAAAGTGTGTTTGACTCATTTCTTTCATCAAACTGTGATGGTGGAATTCATATGAAAATTAATAGGTGTTTCTGTAGGTTCTTCCCTAATAAAGGCCTATTTGCATGGCATTTCCTCTAATGTGGGTATTTTGATAGAATATTTGGACCGGACAATTCCATCACAAATTTTGGATAAGTGCTAAAAAAAAGAAGGGTCATTATCTTTCAATTGGCACATCAATACATTTTAGGTCAGCTAATAATAAATGTAAAGTTAACCATGATTTATTGGTTTGTTTGTTTCACTATGTTCATTGCCATAATGTCACAAAGACTTTAATTGCCAGAAGCCATCAAAATATGCTTACAGCTTTAGAGATGGCCAAGCTTTCTCCCCCCCCCCCAATCCTTTTGATCTCAGTTTGAAACTATAATGGAATGTGAGAATGACCTTGGAAGATGGGAGGAAGGGAAATATGCTGCCTGGGGAAACTTAATCAGATAAAAGGGAGAGGAGCCCACAACTGAGTAATGGGCAGAGAAAGCCTTAGAAAGGATTCTCCCTAATTTAACAAGCAGTAAAAAAAGAAAAAAAAGATGGTGGGAGATTTGTATTTTCAGACTTGCAAGATTGATGTCAACCTTCTAAGTAGACCAGACAGAAAACATGACCAGATAAACTTATTGTATTTTATTGCAAGATGACATTAACAGAATATAGCATGTCTGAAAATATAAATCTCCCTCTGTCTCTTTTTTATGACCTGATAAGTTAGGGTGGATCTTTTCTAAGTTTCTTCTTCTGCCCAGTTACTCATTGCTGGCTTTTCCCCCTTTTATTTGATCATTCCCTAGGTAGCATCTCTTCCTCCCTTCCCCGGTCTTCCAAGGTCATTTTCACATTCCATTACAGGAAACACATTTGAGACTGATCCAGGCAATCTTGATTGCTTGCAGAGCTTTTGCTTGTCTCTTCGCTTCCTTCCAGCTCTTCCACACATCCAGCAACCCAAGCAAGGGGAGCAGGAATGAAACTGATCAGAGTTAATTAGCTATAAACTAACTAGAACTCTTAGTTTCCTTCTGGGTGTTTTCACAGCTCATCAATTTCCAAGACAGCAGCTTCCTCAAAATGGAAATTTCCTGTCCATGGAAACAACAGTGATATATTATGTTTTTGCCCAATAGTGAATCCTTGGTAACAATCTTGTTTAATCATCAGGGGAGATCTCAAGTCAAAACCAGGACTCCATCTTCATCTAGTAACTTCAACAGAACGGTATTTTGTCAAAGGAGCACATTATTTTTATTAGTTGATTGAAAAGTGGAGAAAGTGAGGGAGAATCTGCATTAGTTTTTCTAAGTAAAAATGTAACTTTCTTCTCAAAAAGCAACCACTAATCTTAGAATATTTTAATTTTGGCTTCAAATGGAGTGATGATGATGATAATGAGGAGGAGGAGGAGGAGGAGGAGGAGGAGAAGGAGGAGGAGGAGGAGGATTGAATTCAGTTATTTTTAGGAAGGGATATCTTTACATTACTATTTTCAAGCAATCGCTTGCTGGTGGTTCTGTCACAATGGCCCAATAAAGTATCAATAAACTCATCTTCTATTTATGTAATACTAACTACCATAACTCAGACACAAAAATTGGCATGGGCAAAAATTGTCCACTATTCTTCAAGGAAAGTTTTAATTCAGAAAATGTTGAGATTGGAAACCTCAGGCAAACTGTGTAATATTCTTTCAGAACTTCCTTCAGTGATCCACCCGTGCCCCACTGCATCCTCCCTACATTCATTACCAGTCAGCTGTGTGAAGTCTGTTTGTCCCTTCAGTCCCCATTTCTTGGCTGAGCCAAGAGCCATGGTGGCGCAGTGGTTAGAATGCAGTACTGCAGGCTACTTCTGTTGACTGCCAGCTGCCAGCAGTTCAATTCCCACTTCAAGGTTCCAGGCTTAAGGTTGACTCAGCCTTCCATCCTTTTAAGGTTGATAAAATGAGGACCCAGATTGTTGGGGTGATTCTGTAAACTGCTTAGGGAGGGCTGTAAAGCACTGAGAAGCAGTATGTAAGTCTAAATGCTATTGCTATTGGCTATCCCCATGAAACAAATAGTAGGAAACTGAATAATTCAAGTATATAAGGAATAATACAAATAGCAACATGATTCTTAAAATTCTGAAATTTAAATACTTCTTTTAGAATTAGATTTTTCTGGTCCAACATTTAGTTTAAAAAGACCCATAAAAGTGGAGGGAATAGGGAAGCATATCCTAACGCAACTATAATTATTATCTTACTTGCCCAAAAACATGAATTCCCACACTTTTAAAGACAGAGATACAGTATAGGGAGAGGCATTTGTATAGTTTAGTTACCCATGCAGTTTCCAAGAGTTTGGTGGTTTGCATTTGCAAAATGTTTGACAAATGCTGCCTTATAAAATATGAAGACTATGAATGTTGTCAACCTTCAACAACAGATAATGGACTTAACTCTACCAATAGCAATAGCACTTAGACTTATATACCACTTTACAGACCTCTCTAACTGGTTTTACAGAGTCAGCATATTGCCCCCAACAATCTGGGTCCTCATTTTACCCACCTCGGAAGGATGGAAGGCTGAGTCAAACCTTGAGCCTGGTGAGATTTGAATTGCTAAATTGCAGGCAGCCGGCAGGTAGGCAGCAGAAATAGCTTGCAGTACTGCACTCTAACCACTGCGCCACCATGGCTCTAGAGGAGGAGATGAATGTTGATTGAGTATGAACATGAAAACTTCTGTCATGACATAGCTGAAGATTTAGCAAATTACTATCCTATATAAGCTTTGGGATTTGTTTCTTTAATATTGAAAAAATGAGGAAGTTTAAAATAAATAATTAAATTTCTTACTCCAAAAGGGTTATACAAAAGCAGAGTCATCAAGGAAGTAAACGCTATGAAATCCAATGTATAATTCATCTCACTTTTCCATGTATTATTGCTGCATTCCACTCCAGTAAAAAGGCTTGCCTTTTTTTAAACCCGTTCCTCTGTCTGCCTCTTAGTCAGAAAAGTTCTCCTTTTATTCATTTCCTGTTCCTCCAGCTTGCTAATACAGCCTGAATAACCTCTAGCCATAATCATCTGATAAATATAGTGGCAAGCCTACATTACAATGCTAGGACCGTTGCCAGAATTTAGAGCAGAGGCTGAGGCAAGTGTTGGCTGTAGCTTGAGGAACAACTTCTTTGAATGACAAAGACAGTGGCTACACCATGTAATTAATGGCCAAAAAAAGAGTGGGATGCCCCTAGAGGAGGCAGCTCTTTGTGATTACCCAATTTGGAGGCAAAAAGTAGCTGAAGAGAAGTGGAGCTGCTGCCTAGGCTGTGGTCTTAAAAGACTGTAAGTTTACAGTAAATGAAATTCATAGTTAACATTAACTTTTTAGAGTGTAGTCCAATGAATCATATGTAAACAGTGGGGCCTGTTTCTTCATTTCAGGGTCTGAAAAAAATTATAGCCCTTCTTTTGCAGGTACTGTATACTGTCTAGCTGTCAAAAAGTTGCATACAGGAGCATTTGCACAATCAATGTACATAAATCTACCCAAGCCTTCCTTGGCAACTGAAACCACTTATTTTATTATTCAAAATAGCAACTGGAATCAGACATATTCGTTTCCTAGCAAACATTGATTTCTCCATTCTGAGAAACAGTTTGGGATTTTGGAACCTAGGCTCCAAAAGCTGATTTTTTTTTCCTGAATTACAGAATACAGAGAAATTCATTTCCACAGGGTCACCACTAATGGAGGCAGAAGAACACATTAAAATGTACAAACTCTAGCTGATCTGTGGCATTTTGACTCCTTGCTGTTTCATGGGATTTCAGATAAAGACTGCCAACTTCTTGAGAAATGTTTGTAATATCACATTAAATAATTTTATCATGAGGTCCTGCAGACATATTTCTGGTTACGGGTGTCCATAGGTGCATCTCAAGGTTCTAATGACCTCAAATTTCAAGGAATACAATACCTGTTTACAGGATGTATTTCATTATTGGATGAAAGAAGTTATTTTTATTTACTACTTTAATTACTAAGGCTGAAAGAAGAAGATGCTGTGGGTGGGAAGAAATCAAGGGCTATGACAGGGTAATAAATCCATAGGATAGTATATGTAATGAACTCAGTCATTAATTTGTAGCTGTAAAAAAGTTAAAATTGGGTTTTCTCATCCAACCACTCTAGTGGAAATGTTATTTACTTAAGTCACAGTCCACCATACCTTGGAATGCAGCTTGCTGATGTCATGCCTCCTCTCTGACAGATTAAGAAGCTAAGAGAGAGAAAAGAAATATACAATATTAGAAGAATCAGCTTGTGTGGTATATCTTGGGCTTCATACAAAATGGTGAAAAACACCCAGAAGCCAAAAATACATAGTTTCAAGTCAGTGAACTACCTACACACATATAGAAGTTTTCTCCTTTCAAATTTTCAAAAACTTCAAATATGAGTTTTTAAGCTTTTCATTACTGACATCACCAAACAGTCTAATTATATTACATGCAGCTCACTGAAATGAAAACTGAAAAGGAACAATGACAGATAACATTTTTGTTTTGTTTTGTTTTTAGGATCTTGGCTCTGATTGATTTACCTCATAATAAAAAATAGTCTTCAGAATTTATAATAAAGGTGAATGGATGAATTGGCAAAGATATGCCATATCACAAAATAACAATTCGGGCAATAAGAATAATTAGAGAAAAAATAAGTTCCAGAAAAAGTTCAGGTCAGTATCCATAAAATATTACAACTCTTTTTGAAGTGAAGCATCAAGACAGAATTCCAGTAAATAGTCACTTCTTGGAAAGTTTTTCAAAGCAAGTTATGAAATTGAGTCACAGCCTTCCAAAGTTCTTACCAAGTAACTGTCCCCATGCTTGGATTTAAGCATTTGAGCCACCTCCTTCAGGTTGCTGCAGAAGGTTTGTTCTTCCGACAAACTTGCAAAGTTGACAGCAATTATCCGCTCTGTGACATATACCAGGTCTAGTTCACAAGTGTCTTCCATGGCCTGGTTTAGGCTCAAGTTCCTAGGCCAAAGAAAAACAACTGAATAATCAACAGTTGAGATATAAGATGTTAAGTTGTGAAGGATCTGCCTATGTACTCATCAGCAAGCACTTTTTCACTTGCTGTTGTCAATTCTAAAGTATGCTCTTGGAGTGTTAACAAGTTGGCTTCTCAGATTCTGTTCTCAACATTTTTTTTTTCAGGAAAAAGTCTAATTAAATTTCTTTGTATGTACATTTTTGAACCTGAATTGGGGAAACAGGATACTCCTTTGAAAATTATACTTTTCTGCAAGATGATATTTGTAGCTTCCTTTTTTAATTGGAAAGCTGGTAAGTATAGATTATTTTTCCATAAAGAAGTATGGCTGGGATTAAACAGGATATGAAACCAAGGGATTCCCAGAGATTGCTACAGAAGGAAAAATACACCACCAGATAATTATTTCAATAAGTCCTAAGGCATCATAGGATGTGGACAAGGGGAAATCAAGAGGGGGTGCAGAGCATATTGCTTTGAATTTCTGATGGTAAATCAGAATACAGATCTAACATGGATACATCAAAATTAAGCCATTTGTACAAATGGGTAGCAAAGAACTAAGTGCTCAATAAATACAACAAAGAGTCTTCTAGCACTAATAAACTATTATAAGACAAATGTTAATGAATTAGAGACCCTCCATGAACTAGAATAACTTCTACACTGTGTTCCTGAATCTCAGCAAGTTTAAGATATGTGGATTTGACTCCCAAGACCCCCCAGCCAGAATTCTTCATTCAGCAATTGTGGGAGGTGAAGTCCACACATCTTAAAGTTGCTGAGGTTGAGAAACATGGAGGACAAAAATTTGGGGTTTTACAACACATCATGTTCCTCCAGAGTTGAGAATAGTGAATAGTACATAATAGTAAATTGCTGGAATTAGAACTGCTGGTGCTAGAATGTTCATGTCCTGCTGTGGGTATCCTGGAGACATTTGATTGACCATTGTGGGAAGAGGGTGCTTCTTCACAATCTAATCTGGTCTCTCTCTCTCTCTTTTGTTTTTCATATCAATTTACTACAATGTTGAAACATTAATGGTACTAATAGCACATGGGTTATATTCTTAATTGAAAATAAAATAGTGGCTGGAGCTCCATAGATAAGATTCTTCGTACAAAAATCTCGTCAACTCTTGAGGTTTACCTTGAAGGTTTACGTTGTGCCTGCATAATTTGAGGGGATCTTGAAAACACCTAAGGTAGAAAAATCGAGAGGGAGACAAAGAGGAAAATGTCATATTTTTTCATTACAGATTGACACAATTAGCAGAAAAACTGAAGAAACTGAGCCTCTACTGATTTTCCAAACCCCATATGAATAGCAAAGATAAAATCTGTGTGTTGGGACAGGAACGGTTGTCAGTTTGAGGTGGCTCATAAAAAGTGCTATAAATCTCTACTTTGAAAAACATCCCATATTCCCTGATATTGGAGAATTTATTTTTCAAGTGCTATTTTCTCATTTCTCTGGAGTTGCACTACTGCATAGCGTTGCATTTCATCACATTCTGAAGATACTCATTAAAGACAGTACAGGAGAAAAATCAGAGAAGTGGAGAAAATAAAATCCACAGCATGTCCCAATTTGATATTTCTTTCTGCATTGCAATTCAAATGGAAGATTTTAAACATATTTGGGGGGTTTTCTGTAAGATACTCAGACTACATTACAGATCTTTTCTGCCAGTGCCCCTAGAAAAGTGGAGGAAACGGTAGGCATGAAAAAGAAAACTATGCTACTGATACTAGCATATTATCTTAGCAAATTTGTGAACAAGGAATGGCTCATTTCTAAACTTGAATCTGACTACTTACTCATGCCGTGGAAACCACTTAGCTCATGGGTGTCAAACTCAGGTCGTCATGGCAGCATCACATGACGTATTGGGACTTTTTTCCCCTAGCTAAATTGGGCCAGTGCGTGGCCAGTGTGTGACAAATCCGGCCCGCGGGCTGGGAGTTTGACAGCCCTGCCTTAGATAAATTCAGTTTTTAAAAAGACTTTTGGGAACTTTTTAAGTTGCAATTTTAAACTACACTGAACAAAGCACGCTTTACAGTTAAAGATCCTCTGAAGAATTTCAACCTCAGGTAGCATTTAGAGATTAGAAAGTGGGGGGAGAGGATTGTATGAAATCTGGCTTCTAGATTTAATTCTAGAATGAACCAGCAAGTACTGCAGATTTCTAAGAGAAGGCAATTTCACAGAACCCTTTAGATCCCTCCTGGAGAAACACGATCTTACTAAACACCAGGAGAAAGAATTACAATACACTGCAAGGTCTCTTCATGCCCCTAGAACTGTACTCTGCTTTGCCTTGTCCAAAACTTTCCCAGAACAAAATATCAGGAGGAATTGTCTAAATTGTTGGATCAGGAAGTTTCTATTTATACATTGTTCCCATTCTCCCCCGCCACACACTCCCCAAATTCCTTATGTGCTTATTTTATTCAGTGACTTTATAACCCCAGCAGGAATACGTGTGTGTGTGTGTGTGTGTGTGTGTGTGTGTGTGTGTGTCAACCAAGGGGTTAATTTCTATCATTAAAACCAATCATATGTTTTCAAATACATTTCTGAATTATAAGTAATCATATAAAGCAGCCAAGAAAACACAATAAATTTAAAATAACAAGTTAACTTCATCGAGTGATTCATACTTTTAAAGTCTACACATTTTAGAGTTACAAATGGGTTCATTTTTTCTGAACCTCTATCGTTGTGATAAGCCACAATGGATTCCCATAATGGGTTCCCAAATACAATTCATGGTTAGGTACCTATCCTGTTTTTCTTACAACAAACATATATCAAGATGTTACTTTTTCATTAGAGAGATATGGATGAGTTTGTCCCATTCCATGGAAGGGACCTTAGAGGTCTTCTAATCCAACCTCCTAGTCAAGCAGGAAACCCTATACCATTCTGGAAAAACGGTTGCTCCATCTCTTCTTAAAAACCTCTAGTGATGAAGCACCCACAAGACAAAATTATTTCATGGGCTGGGTCCATTTCACATTAAAATTCTAAAGCTGAGTTAACCACACCCAATTGGCATATTTACACAACTGTGTCCAAGGAAACGATCTAGATGATGGCTTCACTCAAGAGTGGGCAACAGTGGGCCATGTGCTACAATTTAGCATCCTGTTTTGCAAAGATCACAGGAGGTCATCCCATTTAGCCTGATTTTTTTTGGATTTAGCAAGTGGCTAAGAATGAGGACAGAAGCAGGAGGCCTCCCAGAAAAAAAACCATTTCTATTCCCATGTCCATCTTTACCTTCCAGTAAAGAACAAAAATATGTATCAGTCAGATTCAGACATGTTGCCAGACAATTTCAATAACAAGATCTTAGGCATTATGGAGATGAAACTCAAATGTTGGGAGACTATGCCCAATCTCATAGATTGTCCTGTTGTAGTTTAACTTGATGGCTTTGCTGAGATAAAGGACTGCCTCCCATAACATGAATTGCAAACTACCCAATTCTATTATTTTTACCTAGTCTAGCATGTTGTGTGAATCAGGACATAGTGCAGATTTTTATGCTCTTCTCCTTGGAAACCCCAAATTGGATTGATATTTGCTACATAAAGTGTTTTTAGCAATATTGTAAAGCTATGTATATTTATTTCAAGAATGACTATATCCCAGAGCCCTGAAACATAGAATGAAAATCAAACACATATAAAGCAACAGGATTACCCATTCTATTTTTCTGAAAAGTAGAGGATATTATTAAAACTGTTGAACTATTGCATTTGGAGAATGACCTCACCAAACCTAGATAATCCAATACTGCCAATCATATCAGGTCTATCTTTTGTTGTTTACCAATGTACCTCTGTGCACTTCCATACCTCTGATAGTTCATAAGAGGACACTGAACTAAGGTGAAGATCGTTTTATTTTATTATTTTATTCTAAGGCCATCCATCTCTACCTATGTAATTCTGGGCCGTCTACAATTCTAAAATATTAAAACTGTTGTCTCTTACAAATACATAGAACCTCCCAAAAGTGATCCGAATAAACAATACTTCATATATCTAATCTATTTTAGAAACACAATGAAAATATTTCAGAACTTTAGAATGCAATGAGAATTTTGGAAGCATTTTAATTTAAAGTAAACTCAATGCAGATGGCCCAGAGTGATACTATGCACATTCTTTCACTTTCTCATATAAAGTTAAGTACTCTCTTTTATACACTGTTATGAATATTTTTTTTCATACACATGCAGATGGATGCACAAATGTTCTTCCTTCTTTATATGAACATGCATAGACATACTCAGAAGGATGTGAAATATTATCACATACATGGCAAAATGCACGTTTACATTTTCTCTGCGGAACCTAGTGCTGCATAAATAGAAAATAAAATTCTTTCTCCAATGAAACAATATTACCTGGCTTATATTAATGTCTAAGCATTAAATACCTTTTCCACAACCTGTGGATTTGGAAGGGGATCTGATTTTAAAAACATACTGACTAAATTACAACACAAGAACCTTGGTTAGCCTTTTTCCAAAACCAGTCTGTCTAGATTACAATCAACATATATTAATAGATTAATCCAGTAACCAAGCCAAGCCAAAAGTTTTGTGAATATACAGTAGTAATCTATAATCAGGGCAATCTTTCCCACATTTCCTATAATGATCCTATAAACCTAAAATCTGATCCAAAAATTCTACCCTGCCAACCGAGGACCAAAGAGGAATGCATATTTCTTTTGGTAGATAATCAATATATTTCCTACTTACCCTCAGAAAGGAGCTCAGAATGCAATTTGGCATCTCCTTACCACATATACCTTCCCCTTAATCTGGCCTTAAACCAAGACTTACCTTAGGCAGAGATAGGGTTTTCCTAAGCCAGTTTGAAGCCAAGGTGCCCATCTTTCTGAAAACTCCATCCAAAACAATCTTTTTCTCTTATTCCAAAAATCAGTCTGAACAAGTACACAATAATAATATAAGCACAGTATTTTATTAAGCAGCAGCATAAGCCTGGTATACAACAAGCATCATGTTTGTGGTAGGTAGCCTCTGCTGCTTTGGTCCCTGGGTCTCGCAGGGCAGCATCCTAACTATAAACAGCTCCCTTGTTATTACTTCCAGTGGAAATGAAGCCCTACCCTTCCTGAAACTCCCTCCAACATATGTGCGTGCACACATACACACACCATGAGAAACAGTCAGGCAGATATCAGCTGATAGGAACAACAGCTTCTAGGCAAATTAAGAGGTCAGAAGAGATCCTATCCAGAATTTAGGTCTGGGTAGAAAGATGAGAGGGACTGACTAATCTTTCGAAAGGCTGGGATTGCTCGCAACATCACTTCCCTCGTTCCTGCCTACAACTGAAAAGAAAGTGTGTGCTAATCGGTTCCAACAAAAGCCACAAAGTAAACCAATGAGATGTCAATGCTATTTGTATAAAATAGGGGTGGGCCAAATGCAGCCTCCAAACCACATTAATTGTGGCCTTGGTGCAATAGATAAATGATTGAGTAGCTACAATTTCAAGAACAGAAATAATAGAGTAATAGGGAACAGAATAAGCTTGTGTTATATAAAACAGAGATGAGTGAAGAATCCTCCAGGTCTTTTTTTTGTCCGTTCCTGTTCCCTCAAACCTGGAAAACTGAAATATTTTTGAAAGAATTTTCTTTTTTTAAAAAAAAAACACTGCCCAAAACTTTAAAAAAAATAATTAATGCATATTTATTGTTCATACAATAGGTAAAGTCTATGGAGATACTCAGTCATCCAAGTCATGGTTATCCCAAAGGTGCTTTTTAAAAGAGGCAGCTGGACTTTCTGTTTTATATTTTCTTTCAAGACGTTTTGCTTCTCATCTAAGAACCTTAGACTAAGACTACTAGGTAAACATAAAGGTACCTTTTTCTCCTGCCCAGTTGTTTCCAACTCTAAGGGGTGGTGCTCATCTCCGTTTCTTAGCCAAGGGAGCCAATGTTGCCCAAAGACATTTCTCAGATCATGTGACCAGCATAACTATATACCGAGTCACATGGAACAGTTACCTCCCCACCAAAGTGGTACCTTTCTAACTGCTCCCATTTGCATGCTTTCAAACTGCTAGGTTAGCAGGAGCTGGGGTAAGTAACAGGAGTTCACCCCATCACACAGTGCTCAGGTCTCCAACCTGGGCTGTCC